GAATGAGGTTTACCGGGGCTGCCGACAAAGGGCTTTGATGTCGACAGGGGGAACATCCAGACTAGCGCGCGAGCTGACAAACAGCTGATTAGCTGTTTGTCGGCTCAGCGCGGCAGCCATGTAAATGTAAATGAAGCCGCGATCATTTAAATCACGGCTTCATTTGCCTTTGCTGAACAAACAAATCTACATGCCTCTGCCGACAGAGGCATGTAGTTTAGACGTACCCCTAGTGTGGTTCACTGACCCATGCAGTAGCACTTAGCCCATGCTGTAGAGGTCTCTTGTTCTTATCTGTTGCTGTGGTCTGAGAGCCAGCTGGCTTTTAGCTCAAAAGATAGAGGTTCCCATACTAAGCTCCAGAGGTGCCAGGTTCAAATCTGCTTGGTGGGGGTTACATGTGCACAGTACATTATAGGAGGCAGCAGGAGCGTTTCACAGCAATGGTTTGTTCTGTGTCCCAGAGCAGTGGCTGTCGGGATGGAACTATAGCATCTGTAGACAGGACTGCTGAATGTCAGAGTGACCCAGTCCTGCTCTACAATGGGGGATAGGTCTGGAGAGCAATGAAGCAAGTAAAAGCAATCCAGGGTCTGCCCTGGCACATTAGCATGAAAGGATCCGTGCAAAGAGCAAAAGGACTCACGTCAGGGTGCCTTTGGTTTTGCACCAACACTCAGCAATTCCAGTGCAAAATGTCAATGGCCAGTGAAAACGCTAGCAGGGTTTTTGCACAAAATTCTGATTTTTTTGGCACTAAAGTGTAGAAGCAGTCTTCATTACTATTGTATGATAGAAATGATGCCAAAATCATAGGAACCTGAATTATGCCCATGCTCTTTTTGGGGGGGGGCAGTGCTCTGGCATCATGGAATTATTAGGAAAGGAATAGAAAATAAGACCCAGAATATCTTACTGCCCCTGTATAAAACTATGGTACGCCCACATCTTGAATATTGTGTACAGATGTGGTCTCCTCACCTCAAAAAAGATATTTTGGCCTTGGAAAGGGTTCAGAAAAGGGCAACTAAAATGATTAGGGGTTTGGAACGGGTCCCATATGAGGAGAGGTTAAAGCGACTGGGACTTTTCAGTTTAGAAAAGAGGAGACTGAGGGGGGATATGATAGAGATATATAAAATCATGAGTGGTGTGGAGAGGGCCGATAAAGAAAAGTTATTTATTAGTTCCCATAATAGAAGAACTAGAGGACACCAAATGAAATTAATGGGTAGCAGGTTTAAAACGAATAAAAGAAAGTTCTTCTTCACACAGCGAATAGTCAACCTGTGGAACTCCTTGCCAGAGGAGGCTGTGAAGGCTAACACTATAAGGGTATGTCTACACTACAGAGTTAGTCCGAACTAATGGACGTTAGTTCGAACTAACTTTCATAGGCGCTACACTAATGTGGTCTCCTCACCTCAGAAAAGATATTTTGGCCTTGGAAAAGGTTCAGAAAAGGGCAACTAAAATGATTAGGGGTTTGGAACGGGTCCCATATGAGGAGAGGTTAAAGCGACTGGGACTTTTCAGTTTAGAAAAGAGGAGACTGAGGGGGGATATGATAGAAGTATATAAAATCATGAGTGGTGTGGGGAGGGCCGATAAAGAAAGGTTACTTATTAGTTCCCTAAATAGAAGAACTAGAGGACACCAAATGAAATTAATGGGTAGCAGTTTTAAAACGAATAAAAGAAAGTTCTTCTTCACACAGCGTGTAGTCAACCTGTGGAACTCCTTGCCAGAGGAGGCTGTGAAGGCCAGGACTATAATAGAGTTTAAAGAGAAGCTAGATAATTTCATGGAGGTTAGGTCCATAAAAGGCTATTATCCAGGGGATAAAATGGTGTTCTTGGCCTCTGTTTTTCAGAGGCTGGAGAGAGATGGCAGGAGATAAATTGCTTGATCATTGTCTTCGGTCCACCCTCTCTGGGGCACCTGATGCTGGCCACTGTTGGTAGACAGGATACTGGGCTAGAAGGACCCTTGGTCTGACCCAGTACAGCCGTTCTTATGTTCTTATGTTCATGTGACACAGAACTCCGACCCACCAGGTGATCGACATTTCAAACACTAGATTTCTTAACCATAATGAATAATCCATTTCTCTGTCTAGCTCACATTCTCCCGTCATGAAAAGATGATGTAGATCTGCCAGCATGAAAAGATTTGCTGCTGAACAAGGGCCAAAGTGATACCGGTATAAATCCTATAGAAACTCCATGGCAATTGGTAAAATTGCTTATTTATATTGATGTGAATTTGGCCCCAGACAAAAGCCCCTGTTCAAGTCAATAATTGTGGAGAGCAGCAATCCAAAGAAGTTTCAGCTGCAATTGAAAGAAAATTAATAACCATGGATGCGAGGAAGTGATTCCTTCCAATCTTTACAAAAGAAAATTTCACAGGTATTGAATTGAATTTTTTTCCCTAATGCTTTCTTAGAGGAAAAAATGGACCGGAATATCAGCTTGTGTAAATCAGTGTGGCTCTGAGGCAGTCACTGCAGTGAAGCTGGTTTACAACTGAGGGTCCCACCTATTGTTTCATAGATGCGTGTATATGTGCATTCACACCTTTTAGCTGACCTCTCAAAACACTTAACAAACATGAATTAATCGTGTCTCATAACATCCTCGAAAGCTAGACAGGCATGTTCATATACAAGGAAATTGCAGGTAAATCTAAACAGCCCTGACCCCTTTACACTGGTGCCGGAGCCCTGCGCGTCATGGTCTGGATGACTCTGAGGGCTGAGTCCCTAGCTCCACCCCTTCTACTCCAAACCCCGCCCTTTCCTCGGGGTCTGAAGCTGACCCCCCTCATATTTCCCAGGGCCCAGTGAAATCTGTCGCTAGCCCTGCCCTTTGTGTTTCCTAATGAAAGAGGTGCCACCAAAAAGCCTTAATCTCAGCCATTGCTTGGTGTCTCTTTAGTGATAGGTCCTCTCAGCCTAGCTCCAGCTTAGTGTGGATTTTAATAGGAAGTCGAAAAGAGTTGTGCTGGAGTCGGGAGATTCCTTGCAGGGTAAGTTTCCATGCAATGTGATTGAGGGTGGTGGAAACTGGCCGTGTATTATTGTATTTTTAAAAATCCTAAGCCTGTTACTGACAAGCACAAATGCTCCAGAGACATCAATGGGTGTTCCAACGAGATCTCTAAGAAACTGTGCCTCTTACGTGCTTTACCGTCTCCTTCTCTTAAAACCCCTTCTGCTCTGGAAGGCCTGTGGAGTGATGAAAAGACCAATCCTCAGTAGCCTTTCCTACTTCCTCTCCTGCCTTTGGATATTCTGCGGTTTCCTTGCTCCAATGCTTTGTGGTAAACTGACCTCCCTGGATTGGCTGAGCTGTGGTAACGCTCACCTGTTAGCAAGCGTGGGGCTCGTGTGGCCTGGAAGGATAAGGACATAGAGTCCTTCTCCTGAAGCTCCTTTCTGGGGTGTTTCTGGCCCCGAGCCTGGAAGAACTCCTACTGAAATCAATGGGAGTTCAGCACCTGGTGATATGCACCCATGTGAAGAAGACCAGCATTATTCCTACACTGCTGGAAGACTTTGGGAGGACTTTGGGGGAGTATAGGACGTCTGCTGCACGAGGGCAGGACTGAAAATGTTCAGCATGTTTCAATGACTGACGTGCAAGAACTCCCAAAGATTTTCAGGTTTTGTTTTACCTGTTTACATGCTGAACTGCAAACACTTGTTCTTCACTTGTGAAAAAAGCAAGGCAAAGAATCCAGTCAGTGCATTTTTTTCCCAGAGCTTTTAAAATCACATTATTTTTCCTTACTCTTTTATGGGATGATTGATAGTGATACATATCCTTTCCTACCTTGCACACATGCAGGTTTGTTAATGTTTGGTTTCTCACAAGCAGAGAGTAGCCACAATTAATGGATTCAATTTCTGGGCTTTGTGTTTGAAAAGAAATTCCATAACTGTAGATGAATTCGAATCATTCCCATTTCCAAACAAGTACAATCTATCGCCGGCTCCAATGTCTATTACATTTCGCTTTACTGTCTTCTTGAAGAGTACCGATAATAATAAAACTCACACGTTACTCTGATCATGAAACAGCACTAGACCTGTATGCCCCCTGGTGGAAATGATCATTCATACAAAAAAGTCTAATAGAGATCAGATATGGTGCAAATGTTAAAATGTGTGCCCTATGGAGAGAGAGACATATGCCTTTAATATAAATTATTTGCTTGATCATCTCAGGCATGTTTCTGCAGAGTGGCATTTGTAAGCTGGTGTGAAAAAAGCTTCTGGTAAATTATTTGTCATGCCTTTCATTAAAGATTGACGATTTTCTTTTTTTCTAAAATCAGTGTCACAAGTGATAATGAAGAAGTTAAAAAATAAAAATAATGCTGCCTGTTGCGCAAGGCTATTGAACATATGTCGTTATGGAAGTGTCGTTTTATAAGTGGAAATGTGTTTTCCTTTTAAGGAAGCTTACAGGTGCGATACAAATTGAGTAAGGATGGCGCCCTCATTTTCACCATTGACTCTGGAAACCTTGCCAACCGGGAATTACACTGTGTGAAGATCAACAGAGAAGGAAAAGAGCTCGTCGTTCAGGTATCATTCCTACCTACCATGGTTTACTTTCAGGGTCTGATTCACTGCCTGCGCTCAACATCAATTAGTATCTTGCCTGGAAAACAGTCCTGTTGATCTCAATGGGCTTACATAGTAGGCTTTATGACATTATTGGTGCAAATACCTACTCACTGCAGGGCGTGGGGATTCTCAATATGGCCTCACTATGAGCAAGCCTGGCAAAACTTAGGTCTTACGAGGCTGAATTTTGAAACGTTGAGGCATATGATGGACTTTAAGGCCAGAAGGGACCATCATGATCACAGATCCTGCCCCCACCTCCACTCCTGCAACAGGGCCATAACCTCTGAGTTATGGAAGTCTTTCAAATCTTGAGCCAAAGATTGCAAGTTATGTAGACTCCACCATTTTCCCTCTTTGAAAGGAGCAAGTGACCCAGGCCCTATATGTAACCCCTTTGCTCTGCAGAGTCTCTGCCAATCTGATCTGGGGGAAAAAACTCCTTCCCAATTTTAAATATGTTGATGAGTTAGTCCCTGGGCAAGTGAAGGAGAGCCCAGGAGAAGACCAAAGAGAACTGGAAAGAAATTCTCTGCAGCAACTCCAAGTTTTCCCCATCTATTCCTCCACCTTGGGCCACTGGAGATATTAACAAAAAGGCTACGTATAGACTGGCATGATTTTCCACAAATGCTTTTAACGGAAAAGTTTTTCCGTTAAAAGCATTTGTGGAAAAAAGCGTCTAGATTGGCACGGACGCTTTTGCAGAAAAGCGTCCGTGCCAATCTAGACGCGGTTTGGCCATTTTTGCCATCGGGGCTTTTTTGCTGAAAACAGTTCTCAGCTGTCTACACTGGCCCTCTTGCGCAAAAGCATTTGTACAAGAGGGCTTTTTCCCATACGGAAGAGTCATTGTATTTGCGGAAGAACACTGACAATCTTACATTAGATCGTCAGTGTTCTTGCGCAAATTCAAAGCGGCCAGTGTAGACAGCTGGCAAGTTTAAAACTTGCCAGTCTAGACGCAGCCATAGGGATCAAAGTGGCCCCTATGCCACTGGTAGCAGCCTCATCCTACTGTTCCCTCCATATACTTGACAAGCTCAGTGCATTCTTGCATTTGAGCAAGAAGAAAAAGCACATGGAGGTACATGAGAGTCTCACAGCTTTCATGTGTATGTGTCCCAGACTTGAATGTCACCCATGGCTGGACTGCTTGACGAGGAGGAAGGACTGATAAGGTTAAATTGTGTCACTATTAGACGCACACACATCATCCCATTGGCTGCATCAGGACTAGTTGTGTCAGTGGTCACTTTAGTGACAAGGGCACAATCTAGCCTCTCGCATGCACCTGTGACGGTCTTCTATCAGCTGGCGAGAACCCCAAAGTCTCTCCCACTGCCGATCCCCAAGCATTGAATTCTCACCGCCCCTTGGATGAGTCTAACACCTGGTAGGCAGCCAGCCTGGGCTATCAAGTAACCTTGTGCTGTCCTGGTTTTCAAAGGGAGAGAGAGGAGTGAACGCACAGCAGCTTTTTGGCAAGCTTTTGCTTATTTGTTAGGGCTGAATGGTATTTTGTGTCCGTCATTAATTAGAAGAGAGAGAAGGGCAGAGACAGCAGAGGAGGCGAGAGGTGAAGAAGAGGCAGAGGACGAGAATATCGTATTTTCTTTTTTCTTCCGTTTCAGTGCATTGGCGTAAAACCTTACAGGGGTTGCCAAAGTTAATTCAGCACATAAAATAGGCGGATGGGATTCTGATCTGTGCCTCACACAAGCTTTGCGCTAATGGGTGGGATTTTTCCCACATGCTGGTCTTCTACATGCAGAGTTAATCCTTGACAGTCACTGGCTTCATTTGTTTGCCTGCTTGTTGCAATCAGGGATGAATAGGTCAGAATGCTCAGTGGGGGCATGGCATAATCACTTGTCAAATATTTAAAGTTTCTCGCAGGAAAGGTTTCTTTAGAGCCCTGCTGTATGAACACACTGACACACCTTTTTAGCTTTCCCTGCAAAATTAAAGCCCATTCATTGTGCGATCCGTGGGAGGCAGGCATTTTTTGTACCCAGAGCGGAGCTTTCCTAAAGGGCTGGTCTCAAGATACTTCGGGGCTCTTGGCAAGCCGCAGTAATTAACTGTGTTTATTGACCTGTTCCAGGTTGATCAAGTTCTCAAACTCAAGCAGAACCTCTCCGAGATTGACTTCAAGGCCATCAAATCACTCACGTTGGGCAAGGTCACAGGTAGGCTGAGCAAATGGCATGCTGATCTGTCGATGGTCCTGGTCAGTCCCTGCAGTAACCTGTGCAGCGTGGTAGGGTGTATTTCTTTTTGGCCTGTTAGGGCTGGCTGTAACGGAGGTGTTACTTACATAGCAGCAGAAGCCCAAGGAAAAGAGTGTTGGGAGAAACTTTGGCGACATGAGTTGTTTGCCCTCACGGCCATGTTACTCTCTCTCCTCTGGCTGAGCTGGCTAGAAAGGGAAGGTGGGAAGATCCAGCGCCCCATGGCAGCACTCCTGAAGCTCACCATGTCCTGAATGACACCCCTGTGTGATGTGCAGCTGACTGCCTCCGTGAGGTGGGGCAGCTCCACGATCTCACGTTCAGGCAGGGAAGAGTGGTGGCCTGTCCTGTCTCCCCCCTTGCAGTCATATTGCCCCGTCCACGCTGCACACTGCATTAGCGAACCAAGCCCTGGGCGCTCTCAACATGTCGGAGCTGCAATTCGGTTGGCTATGTGCCAGGCCTGGTGAGGAGGGGTAGCCCTCCCCTTTAGCGCTGCCCATTCACCTCGGCACCATGAGGAATCTGCCAGACCTCCAGGGATGGAGATTCCACTCCCTCCCTAGGGAACCCATCCCAGTGCTTCACCCCCCTCCTAGGGAAATAGTTTTTCCTAATATCCAACCTAGACCTCCCCCACTGCAACTTGAGACCATTGCTCCTCGTTCTGCCATCCGTCACCACCGAGAACAGCCTCTCTCCATCCTCTTTGGAACCTCCCTTCAGGAAGTTGAAGGCTGCTATCAAATCCCCCCTCACTCTTCTCTTCTGCAGACCAAACATTCATGCAGGGCTCTACATTCATCGCTGCTCAGAACTTAATTACCTTTTTATTATGTCCAAATGCTGTTGCTGGTCCCAAAGCAAACCTGGACATCCAAACCAAGCCAGCCTGCCAGTTGTAGCACCTACTGCTGAGGTCTATTCTGCCCATGCAGCTTAAAGGTTCGCTAGTGGGCCCCAAAGCCTGTGCAATTGAAAGCCGTTTTGGCAGACTCGGAAAATAGGCATCCACTTGTGTCTCCTTGGGAGCTATTTATTGTCTGCAGTAAATCAGCATGCTTGGTGTCCTTCAGTGTCTGCTGGTATAAGTAACAGTACCTTAGGTTGAACCTCTCTAGTCCAGCATCCTCGGGACCTGACTGGATTGGAGCTTTAAGGCAGCTCAGTTTGTGTGATGGACAGATCCCTTTTCTGTTCATCTCCCTTGTCCTGTAACCTCAGGGAGCTCTGTTGTTCTTTGATTTCTGTTTTCCAGTTCTGTGGTGTCACTAGTGCCAGAAACCTTACAACCCAAATGGTGGGAGTAATGACCATTGTACTTAGACCATGCAGAATTTGGCGTACAGACTAATTACTTACACAACGGTTTTAGCCCTGGGTCCTCTTCCCAAATCCAGTTTTAAATGATATTTTCCTTAATCCAACTTCTGTTGTTCTTTGATTTCTGTTTTCCAGTTCTGTGGTGTCACTAGTGCCAGAAACCTTACAACCCAAATGGTGGGAGTAATGACCATTGTACTTAGACCATGCAGAATTTGGCGTACAGACTAATTACTTACACAACGGTTTTAGCCCTGGGTCCTCTTCCCAAATCCAGTTTTAAATGATATTTTCCTTAATCCAACTTCTCCCCTGTCCTAAACTGTTTTATTGTGTATGTTAAGTGCTGTTAAACAGCAGCTGTGTCCCTCCTCCTCCCCCCCAGAGGTGGCTGCCTTTCACTCAGAAGGGTGGAACCTGAGTTGGTCAGGCTTCACCTCTCTCAAACATGTTATCGACATTAAGTAGGAGATTTGCTTGAGTGCAAAATACAAGGTTGGCCCCACACACTTTAACTGTCAGGTCCTGTCTAAGTGAAATGATGATTATCATCATGGGTCTAGAATAAAGAGCATCGAAAATACTTCCTTGCAAATGTTCATGTATAGGTAATCTAATGGCAGATAAATCCCAACGCACCATAATAATGGACTCAAATGTAATTTTTTTTTCTTTTACCTCCATTTGTCTGTCTTTCCGCCGTTATCCAAGGGCCAGATTTTCACAAGTGTGCAGTGCTCATCCCTGTGTCCAGCTTTTCAGAAGTGCTTCGCACTTAAAAATAACCAGAAGTCCACAGCTGTTCAGAACCCATCCCCTCTGGTTAATGAAGCACTGTTAGAAGCCTAGGTGGAAGCAGAGGTCTTGTGAAAATCTGACCCTCTGTTGCACGAGGCATGAGGGATTCGCCGGAAAAGGCTTTCCTTGTTGACCGATCCCCGTCTAGACTGCCGCTTTTTGCCGGCAAAGTGCTGCGGCGGCAAAAAGCGGTGGCCATTTTTATTCAAATGAAGCGCGGGATATTTAAATCCCGCTTCATTTGCAATAGCAATGTGCCTAATCTACATCCCTCTGTCGGCAGAGGGGTGTAGTTTAGACACACCCTGTGTCTCCTTTGAAACTCTCTGCCCCACATTTCCCCCTTTTGCCCCATCAATTTCTCACTGCTTCATTTCAACACTCTGTACCAAGCCATCTGATCCAGTGCTGTCTAACCAGACATTTATCACCTCTTCTGCTTTCTTGGGACTCAGTGTTTTTTTCTCCCCTTTCCTATGAGCTTAGAAACTGTAGGAGAGCTTAGAGGAGAATGTCACAAAAGAATCAAATTATTTTGTCATATTTTCCTTTGGTAACTCTGTAAAAACACAGCTGTAGCTCTTGCAAAAAACACTGTTAGGAAATAAGAGATTTTGAAATTACAGTACAACTTCTCCAGTTCCTCTCGCTCTGCTCGAAAGCCACTTTCTTTTGTTTATCGTGAAACTGTGGCTCCATATTCTGCTTCAATGCAGATTTCCAATCTAGCCCTTGGCAAGTCACTTTGGGTGCGTCTACACAGCACCCTAAACTTGAAATAAGATCCTCAATTTGTGCTACGCAAATTTTGTATCCTCTTTCAAAACTATTTTGAAATTTGGCGCATCCACACAGCACCAAATTTCAAAATAAGGTGCTATTTTGAGCCATCCCTTATCCCTCGGGCAATGAGGTTTACCAGGATGGCAAAATAGTGTGCCCGGTATTTCGAAAAATATTTCAAAATAATGAGTGGCTTGTGTAAATGCAGGGTAGATATTTTGGTATCCCGAAATAGCCATGAAGCGTAGACATATCCCCAGTCTCTCTGTAGCCTGTCTCCAAAATGAGGATAATAGCAGTTCCCTATACATTAAAGATTATGGAGATTACTCCCCCGTCTTTCCTTGGCTTGAAAGCAAAGCTTAATTTTAAATCTATGCCATAATATTCAACTGCTCATGAACATTTATTGAATTCATCCCCAGAGGATCGCACTGGCATAGGGAAATACAATGGTTCCCATACGTTGTTGCTGCTGTTGAATAGACACAGAACAAAGTTACAGAAGGACATATCCAAAGCTCATTGATTCAGTCCTTCCTTTGACATCAATGGTCATTGGATTCAGGTCCCAAGTGGCTTTTCTGGGGCATGGAGGCCAGGCATGGAACACAGATCTGAGCTCCCAATCCAGCACCTCAGCTATCAAACCATCCTTCCTTGTGACCATCTGTGCTAGTCACTAGATGCACAACCTTCCCTTTGCCTCTTCTACATCAATTGAACCTAAGGACAGGTTGAACTTCTCTAGTCCAGCATCATCAGGACCTGACCTGTCCCAAACAAGCAAATTTGCCCGTACCAGGGGAGGTCTCCTGCCACTGACCCCCAAGCATGTCACCTGCTGCGGGCAGGCTGCCCCACTAGGCAATCCTGCACCCCCTCCCCACTACAACCTGGCTGGACTTCTTGCCCAGCTATTGTTGGATCCCTGGGCTGCACAGGCTCCAGCTCCTGCTATGGGGCCCTGTTCCTGTGCTGCTGGCAGCAGCCATGGGGCTCTGGCCCATCCCCACACTCTTGGGAGCTGCTGGAGGGGGCCCTGGTCCTGCGCTGCCCCCAGCCCGGCTGCCGACAATGATGTCCCGCCTATCTGACCCTCCTGCCATTAGTCTCCCAGGTTCTCTGCTCTAGGGGCATCTGTGGTCCTGCCAGACCACGGATGTTGCCAGACCAGAGAGGCCTGGATTTTAGAGGTAAAACCTGTCTCTGTGTGTGTGCAAGCCTGTATCTAAAGGAATGACATCACATCGCTCAACATTTGTTTGAGTTTTCTCTGATTTTGTGAATTCTCATGTTTCTGCTGCCTCTGTCCATATTTCCTTTTCAGCCACATCATGGATCATGTATTCAACATCATTAGAACAATGTGATACAAAAGTGGCTGATAGCTCAGTGGTTGGATCTGGCTCTGCGGTTCCAACATAACTCAATCTAGCTAACCCCCTAGGCGTGTAACTTTGAAATGCCTTCGCACGGTGGTTTATTGCACACATGCTTGTGAAAGGTTTCACTCATGCTGCTACCAGCCTACTCTTGTTTTTACATCTGCTGTAAATCTGAGTTGTAGAGAGAAGAGTGTCTGACTTTCTACATGGTTACTCCTTCGCCCATCCCCAACCCCTTACTAGGAGCATTGTCATATCAGGGTTAGGGTGGGCAGCTCCAACTGGTCTTAAGGAGGTTCTGAGGATGAATATTATAAAGGCTTTACCAGCACACATTTGGGGTAACTTGAGGTGCATTTTACACGTGTAGCTGTTTTTGCTGCAAGGAGCTTAATAAAGCAGCTTTGAAGACAGAGTTGGCTGTGCAGGATAAAAGAAAAACTAGGTTGAGGGCAAGATGGCAGCAGGTAGAGATGAAATAGGAAGAGAGGGTGAAATAGGAGGTGAGGATAAGACAAGCTTCTGTTGGTCCGACATCAGACAGAAGGTAACATCATCCTGTATGTCCAGCCCATCACCTCCAAAATTACCGGTTAGCTGGTGATTTTGTCTTAATCCCAAGAGGGAACTTTTCTCTGTTTCCTGAAAGATAGTGCTCTCTAGAAC